GGCCCCGATTTTTTTGGAACGGGTAATTTCCAGTAAGTGACACCTAAAACAAGTGTTAATATGTAAAATTAAATAGCTAATGAACTATAAATAGAATAACTAGCGGCCCCATAATTAGACGAATTATAGAAACAAGTAAAAAACGTTGATCAATATCTATTTATGAATTGAATTCTGAATAATTATTCATATAATATTTTTTTTTTTGAATAAGTACTAATATATAAATAAATGGTATAAAAAAATTTGGGGGCCCTAAACTTTTACGAAAATCTGGGGGCCCTAGGCGACCGCCTACTCCGCCTCCCCTCAACTGGCCCTATCTCTGCAGTTTATAAATTTCTTACATCCAACCTCATAAAAAAGGTGTTAGTGTAAGAAGTCTATAAATTAGACGGGATTTGATCAAATATGAAAACATAAAGTATTTTTTCGTAAAAAAACTTTACTTCAGAAATGATCGTAAGTTAATAGTTATCAAGCTACTTCATTGAATAGAGGTTAATTAGGAGGTTCAACTAGGCACACACCATAGCTTATTTGTTATACAATAAAACAAATATTGGAATATTAATTCATCCTTCGACTAAACTAAACTAAACCTCGTAACATTATCGAAAGATTTAAATACCAAAACGTCACTAATATCCTTCACGAATCCACCCATCGCCGCGTACTCGTCGAAAGCCCGTGGTACCACATTACACCTCAAAAACTCTGGAAAAAATAACCAAAACGCGGTAACCATAACCCACCCAATCGTCAACGGGCCCGAAATTGACTTAGTCAACCGCCACCGGCCGTTGACTACTTTCTTGACTGTCACCTCCGCGGCCAAACACACGCCGTGGAGCACGAAAAACAAGGTGATTTCTCCGCTGGCCCCCCTGTGGCCCATGTAGAAGAAAATCACCTCGTGCATTAAACCAGAGACGAGAAACGATCCCACCATTGCGGGCAGTGGGGCCCACTTCCGGCCCGTGATTGGGGTTGATAGCTGCATAACGGGCTTGTAAACCGTCGGGTGTAGAATACGCGTCACCATAAGATTCCACCTCCGGCCCCAAAATTCCTGCAACGAAGCCGAGAGGTAGGGCTCGTCGAACTGAGGCTCGAGCTCGATCCCGACAAGGGTTTTAGCCAATCCGCCAACGATGGCTAGGATAACCTCGAGCCCGAAATAAATGTGGAGGCTATACAAAACCCACGTGAATTTCGGATGGATCAGATCGGAATAATCATACATTTTTAGAAGCAAGCAGATGAGCAACACCTTGACCGCGTAATTCCACAACGACTTAAGGCCGTGTTTGGATGGGATAATTTTATCCTGGCTAGTTGTGATTAGCAGCTTGGATTTGATGGGGAGGCAAGCGAGAGCGGCAAATCTCGGAAGCGAAATCGAAGGATCGGATAACGGACCCTCTCCGAAGGCGAACATGATCAGCTTGAAATTGGCGAGCCAAGCCAAGAAGAAAGCCGACGAGCCGCCGAGATGCATTGTGTGTAGGCTTAAAGGCAGGATTAGATTCAGGATTATGACCGGGATTACAATCAAGAGCCTGGATAAGCCCTTTGGGACGTGTTTGGCTGCGAAAAAGCAGAAGCAGAGAGAGGCGAAAACGAGTGTCCATACCTTGATGAAGTTTGTTATCTCTCCTTCCGACCAATATTTCACCACTTTGATGATTTGCAGAATCATTTTTTAGATGCTTTTTGTTTCGTTTTGAATTTCTTGTTTTTTTTTTAAGAGCAGATGAATTGGATTGGATTATATATATACCGTGGAAATTGGAACGAAATTTTCGAATTATTATTTTGATTTAATTTTTCTTTTTTAATTATTTCAACTCTTTTTTTAAGTGGGGTGTAGCTTTGGCCGACTCTATTGACTTTGAATACAATTAAGTGCTTTTAGAAAAAATACATCACCATGTTTAATATGAATTATTTATTCATTTTCTATAATTATTAGAATATATATAATATATATATATATATATATATATATATATATATATATATAATCATGTTATTTTAATATTTTTATAACAAACTATCATATGAAACGCATTTATTAGGAGGTTGTGCGCTAAAAATGCGTCACGGTTTTTGTATGTTACTAGTCTTAATAATGAGGGGGTTTTCAGCAATTTGACACAATTTGGGGGCACAATATGCTTGAAGTACTGAATATGCTTCCCTATTTATTGAGTGTAAAGTTTATTCAGTGCACTTCAAATGACTCGTGATTGTGGAGTCTATTGATAAAAACAAAGAAAACTAATATTTCAATAAAATTAAATTATTATGTATGTCCCATATTTTCATCAAACATACAAATCACATTTTGAATGTTTTGTATACATTATATTCAATGTACTACTTTTTTCTTACAACAATGAATTATGTGTGTAAAATTGGGATGCAATTTTTGTGTATACTTTCTAGTTTGATAGGGACATTCACATGCTACAACAAACTAATGTCAACACCAATTTACTCAATCACTAGGTGCAATTAATTACCGACTAAATTAGGTTGTGTAGGGAAGGAAATTGGAACAAAGTTGACAAATTCCACCTCTTTTAGTAATAGCACTTACCTCCCTTGTGGTTTGGACATTTTGCACATGACCCCTTTATGGTATGAAATTAGGTACATAACCCCCTTGTGGTTTTGACATTTTACACATGACCTCCTTATAGTATGAAATTAGCACATAATCTCATTGAATAGAAAATTGGAAAAGATTAAATCACCCCTATCGGCTATCAAGTCAAAAATTCTTGTTTTAATTTAAAAATACTTATTCTATAAAATTAAAAGCTTAATGTACTTTTTTTTAAAATGTGAAATATAATATATTATTGTGATTTTTTTTTACAGCACAAAATATATATATACTAGTTATTTTACTATTGACAATTTATTTGATTCAAAAATCAATTTAAAAATCTTTAACATTATTATTAATTATGATTATTATATTACTATTTTCTTTATAATATAATATATTATACAATCGTACAATAATTACTATTATATATCTTTTGTGCTATATAATATAATATTTTATATTATAGCAGAGTATAGCTGTTATCGAACGTTAATTTTTTTATGAAACAAAGTCTTTAGTTTTTTATTCTCTTGGAAAAATCTAAAAAAACATTTCTCTAGAGTTGAAATGAAAATTAAATAAAAAAAATATATGTGCCGTAAAATAGAAAAACACAATAATATATTATATTTCTCATTTTACAAAAAAATATATTAAACTTTTTATTTTATAGAATAATTATTTTTAAATTAAAACAAGAACTTTTGACTTGATATAGGTAATTTAGTCTTTTCCAGTTTTCTATTCAAGGGGGTTATGCGTTAATTTTCATACCATAAGGAGGTCATGTGCAAAATGTCAAAACCACAAGGGGTTATGTGCCTAATTTCATACCATAAGGGGGTCATGTGCAAAATGTCAAAACCACAAGGGGGTTATGTGCTTAATTTCATACCATAAGGGGATCATGTGCAAAATGTTCAAATCCCAAGGAGGTTAAGTGCTATTTACCCTATTTATAAATTCAAAAGTTATGGTTTCCCGAAAACCCGAAAAAAAATTTGAAACGAAATTGGAATACATATTAGACTCCTACTCTGATTTCAATTTCCGAAAAATCATATATATATATATATATATATATATATATATATATATATATATATATATATATATATATATATATATATATTTTTTTTCAAAAATTTACTCGTATAATATCAATATTATTATGTATTGTATTGTATATAATAGGAGACTAAAAATACAGAAGTTCAAATTCCATCAACTCTGATCCGAAATTTCTGAGTTATGGAACAAGATTTTTAATTGCATATTTTCGAACTCCAAATTTCAAATATTCCGATTTAAAAAAAAAACATAATTGAAATTGGTTTTCACTTTTAAAAAAAATTGAAACTTTCCCAAAACTTTTACCATACAAAGAGTCTACAATCAACTAACCAACAATACGAGCAAGGTTCGTAAAAAGACCCTCTAAACCCAATATGAGATGCTACACCCGATGAAAAACATCACGTTGTTTTGCACTATAAATCTATACAAATAACTACCCACGAAACACACATACACATGGGTGTGTGTGTTATTATGTGTAGATCAATGGTGCTTCATCACCCGGAGTAGTTCACCGGATGTAGCATCTACAAAACCCGTAATCCAGATAAATAGGGCATGCCCGATTCTGGCATAAAACTCCACCATATTTCCCAAACTTCAATAAGTACTTACAAATTCAACAAGTACTTTTATGCATAAACTCACTTCAATATAAGGTACTTACAATATTCAATAAGTACTTTTATGCATAAACTAACTTCAATACAAGTACTTACAAATTCTAAGGAAATACTTTGCAGACAAAAGAATAAAAGAAACTAAAGAGAGAATGTATTGAAAATTGAGAGAAAAATGTCGCACAAGAAAGATACTACCATCCACAAAGTTCTTGCAACGAGTTTCAATTTCGTTCTTCAGATAAAAGAGCTAAAGTAAAATAAAATCCATCGATAAGAAATTCAATTCAGCAAAGGGGTAAAACACAATAAGAAGTAACATAATTACTGCCTCACAATGACTTCATGGGAAAACCCGAGATCATGCTTTGGACTTCGGAACGAAAAACTTGGCTTCCGGTGAACAACGCAACGAAAACCTGTTATGAAATGAAATTACGAATATATTTACGCATATATATATATATATATATATATATATATATATATATATACATTAAAGATAAGCAAATGTTAAATAAATATACCATCGGCAGTACAACAACTCAGTTAGCCACTGAAGATGAAGCCGGTACTCTGATCTGAGGAATCACGACACTGTTTAGCCTGAAACTTGTACACAAAGATGTTACCGTTTCTATGTAAAGATTGCATTGTTCATAGACTATAAACACTAAATTCAAACATTGAAATATTTGAAAATTGATGTAAGGTGTCGTTAAAGTAAATGCTTACGGAGATTGGTTGTTCCGAAGGTGACGGAGCTATTACCGGAGATGAAGCTAGGGTTCCGGAAGGTTCCGTGGAAGATTCCGGATGCATCACTTCGTGAGAAGCAAATGGCGCTAGTATGCTATGTTGTAGATTTGCATTAGCATTGACTTCTGTCTTAATAATCGGCAAATTTTCACCATTATTCTCCGATGAATGATTGACGTGCTCCGATGGGATCCCGCCAGCTGGCACATTGCCTGTCTCAGCAATCAGCAAAGTATCACCATTATTCTCCGATGAATGATTAACGTGCTCCAATGGGATCCCGCCAGCTGGCACGTTGCCTGTCTCAACAACCAGCACAGTTTCACCATTATCCTCCGATGAATGATTAACATGCTCCAATGGGATCCCGCCAGCTGGCACGTTGCCTGTCTCAACAATCATCAAAGTTTCACCATTATTCTCCGATGAATGATTAACGTGCTCCAACGGGATCCCGCCAGCTGGCAGGTTGCCCGTCTCAACATTCACCAAAGTTTCACCATTACCCTCCGATGAATGATTAACGTGCTCCAATTGGATCCCGCCAGCTGGCACGTTGCCTGTCTCAACAATCAGCAAAGTTTTATCATTATTCTCCGATGAATGATCAACGTGCTCCAATGGGATCCCGCCAGCTGGCACGTTGCCTGTCTCAGCAATCAGCAAAGTTTCATCCTTATTCTCCGATGAATGATCAACGTGCTCCAATGGGATCCCGCCAGCTGGCACGTTGCCTGTCTCAACAATCAGCAAAGTTTCATCATTACTCTCCGATGAATGAATAACGTGCTCCAATGGGATCTCGCCAGCTGGCACGTTGCCTGTCTCAGCAATCAGCAAAGTTTCACCATTACCCTCCGATGAATGATTAACATGCTCCAATGGATTCGGATTCACTACATTGGGTATAGTTCCACTGTTGACTTTTTGTCTCTTATTAAGACCAACATCCTCGTCCAATGGGATCCCGCCAGCTGGCATGTTGCCTTCATTGACACTTGATGAATCATCATTGCATGCTTTTCTCTTATTAATCAAGGAAGTTGCATCGATATTTTCCAACGAGTTCACTTCAGGCGGCGGCGCATTGTCACTCGATGGATCTTTAGCCTGCACTTCGTTAGGTGTAGTGTCGAGCTGGACGACCGCCGAATTGTTGACCGTCTTTGCATCGTAAAACCTAAATTTGGACCTGACAATTTCCGACATTGTGGTGTCGGATTCAGATTCTGCAAATAATGACGGTTTGCGGATAAGTTTCTATCTAGTAATAATGTAAGTCGTAATAGCCAAGTTTGTACAAACTCACCCAAAATAGATAGAATCGCCGAACGTGCTGCAAATTGTTCGGCCTCCTTCCTATTTCTTCCAGCAGCTCCAACATACGTAACACCGCCTAAATTCAAGGACGAACCAAATACGGGAACCGATAATTCCTTCGATTCATTAGTCAAATACGAAGGCAAGTCAATATTCATCTTCACAGCATACTCGTTGATTATCGATTTGCAAAAGGTTGCGTTCTGTTCAACAATTGAAAAAGGTTTTAGTTTATGGACAAAAAGTCGGTTAACGTAACCATTAACGTAACGACAGAATCATTAAATACACAGCACAAAACATTTCGAGAATTAAATACATTCTTAACGTGGGACCTACCGCGAGTATACGCGAAGATCCCTCGTTTTTCACTTTCTCTCGAAGGCCGATCAATGCGTGCTTGGCGGCATCCTGTTCCGATGCTTTCCTATTTGAAAAGGTATTGGGAGATGTGAAGCAAACTCCGTCCACCCAAACCCTAGATCTGAATTTGGATGCATGTTGAGCTCCTTCATTGAAAGTTTCGTATATCGGAAGCGGCATAGAAGCTCTATGCGTGTATTGCTGTAAGCGATTCTTGTACCAACTTTCCTTGGGAACACCTATATACAATCGAACACAATAAAAAACAATTGCCGATTGATAATTAACACAATCAAGTATAATAATTCAATCATAATTGTTTGTTATTGATGCAATTAAGATCACTCACGGTATAATAACATCTAATTCCATTTATTTTTCTACAGTCATCAAAGATTAAAACCAAATAAAAAATAAAAATAACAAATTAACCAAGCCCGGGAGAAAAACACACACGAATTTAGGTTAGCTAATTTAATTAAAAAAAACGAATACTTAAAAAAAAAAAAAAAAAAAATTAACGACGGCAGTAAAAATCTAACAAAAGCAAAGATGCTTTTACACATGATTTAATAGAAAATTGAAACAGGAATGAAGATAAAATGAGATAATTAATTGTATATATATGTAAAAAAAAAAAAAAACTAAAATAAAATCAGCGAATTTAGGGAAAATCAGCTGAAAGCAGGTAAGAAAAGCATGAAATTAGGGATTGGGCGGTACACGGCGGCAGAAGCAGAGAGGGGAATTTTACCAGGAAGCGGCGGCGGCGAAGCAGGCGGAGACATGTTTAACTAGGTCTGAGTTAATTAGGAGCTGACTCACTCTGATTTCAGCAGAATGGTACGATGGAATTTGCTATTTATACGTGTGAGCTCATCACTGCATTACATTTCTATTTAATCTCAACTTTATATACTTTCTTCTTTAAATCACTAAAAAACCTTCCCATGGTTTTTTTTTTTCTTAAATATATATATATATATATATATATATATATATATATAATAGGAACTACCGAATCTGCCCTTAGTAATTTATGCAGTATCACTAGCAAACCCATTTAAACACAGCCGCCGCGCCATTTGCCGTCGTCGTCGTCTGCCGCCGCATTTCACGTCATCGAAATTACGGTTGAGACTTAAAATGCTAATCGAAAATAGAATTTTTGGTTTACGAAGTTGAAGATTATTCGTATGTTTTGATTTTTCTTTTTTTTTTTTTTGGTGCTTAAATCGAATTTCGAAACTCTAAAATACGGAAATGGATTTTGAAAACACAAGTATGGAAATGAATAATATAACCGGTCCGGTTATCGAAGAAGAAGACGACTAATTGTTTTTGGTGACGACCAAACGTAGCGGATACTCGTAAAAATTATGATATCATATTATTAGCATTACTATAAATACCTCGTAACAAAATCGTCATTTTAAAAATTCAAATAAAATACCAAAATCATTACCATCAATAATCGGATACGCATTGACCATTGAAATTGTATAAAGAAAAATAGTAAATTTGTTCAAAATGTACAATTTAATCGGTAATTCATAAATCATCTTCAATATTTACATAGTTAAACTTGGTAACATTAAAAAAAAATCACATTAGAAAATATCGACTAGGATGATTTGTTGCTACTTCCATATCGATTATCGACTATCGCATGCTTCAATACGTGTTTTATTTTCTAACCTATTTTTCGTAAGTTTAAGCTTCAAACTCCCGAGTTATAAAAGTATCAATCGGTCAATAATAATATATAAAATATTAAGTAACTAAACTAATTATATGGTCGAATTGGATCCAATGGCTAAAATCAAATCTGCGATGTATATTATTTATTTACCAAAACCGTAAACCCTACTTCGGTAACGAGTTTTAGTAAATTCGATACTACATATAGTGTTTGAATTTTTGTCATCCCTAATATAGGTATTCTTGGTTAGCCCAATATAGATAATAACTAATTAGCTATTGAGCAAAATCAAATAGGTATATATATCAAAATAAATAAATAAATGTTAACATTTCGACGAATATACACCAAAATTGTATTTTAGCTTATATCAATGGAAAGTTTCGGATCATTTCGGTATATCCATAAAAAAAATTACTTATTTTTTACGCGTCCGTCAATTGTTTAACATTGTTTTGACGGATATCTATTGAAAATATTCAATAAAAAACGAGCCATGTTCCGGATCATTGTAATCTGATCTTGGTAAAAGAATTGAATCGAATCAACGAAAATCGACAAAAAAAGTAACAAATTACATGTTGAATTTGGTTTGTATACATCGAGTTATTTTTTCGTTGTTGTTTCTTTAAATTCCATTTCACTAGTGTTCCAGGAGATAGAAGAATTAGAGTTGAGTTAATGAATTTCATATAGAAAAATAATGTGTTTGTGAGGAAGAAGATGAAGTAATTGGCTTTGTGAAATGAAAAAACATACTGTAAGTAAGTGTTAAAATAAGATTACTTTATGGGGAAATTACAGTTTTCACCATTCAAGTTTGCATCGATTACACATTTGGTCATCTATGTTTACAAAAAAACACATTTGGTCCCTCTGTTCCAATAATTTAACATTTTTTATCATTTCCGTCAATTTACCGTTACTCATTTAGTTAAGGCAGTCATGGAACATGCTTGATTCCGTTAGTTTTAACCGAAAATTGACGGAGAGGACTAAAAGTATTGAATTTTTGAAATATAAGGGACCCAATATGAAATCTTTACAAACTTGAGGGGCGAAAACTGTATTTTTCCCTTACTTTATATATTAATAAATTGACGAAGAATTACATTTACCCGATATATAGGTTTTACCTCATAAACATTTCAACAAGCTGGAATAGCTCAGTTGGTTAGAGCGTGTGGCTGTTAACCACAAGGTCGGAGGTTCGACCCCTCCTTCTAGCGCAATTAATTTAGATTTTATTTTTTTATTTTAAAACTGCTAATTCGTTTAGATTTTATTTTTTTATTTTAAAATTGCTAATTAGCTTTTCCTTTTGGAAAGCCCAAATATACAAAAATCAAACACACCTCATATTTGGAAAAGCCCAACCCAATATTAAATCCACTATGCCTTTCAAACTTAAAATATATATTTATCTTCATTAAAAAAAATTATACGATAATACATGCTAATCTACTGCTCATCTTAAATCAAGAATAT